AGCGCATCAAAGTCCAAGTCCCTGAGTGAAGAACCCACATCAGTCGCAGGACACACGACACACGACACACGACACGACGACACCACACCACCCACACGACACAACACGCGCACGCACCGGAAGGTTACGGGCACGTTGAGGACCTCGAGAGGCGAGAGGATGCCCAGAAACATCTCCAGCTGGTCGTTATTACGCAAGAGAGCATCGTCCTCATAGAACTTGCTGCGAGAGATTCAAACAACAACAACAACAACAACAACAACAACAACAACGGCGTACGAGGCAGGTGTCAGGTGAATCATCAGTGGTGACCCTCGAGGAAGGGAAAGAGGCAACGAGAGTGCGTACCGAAGCAGGCTCTGGTCTTGGGTCAGTTTTGTGAGAAGTGTCTTCAGATTCTTTTCCTTCAGCGCTATGCGAAGCCAGAGCCGGCCCTTGCCTGCATGCCGACGAATCCCTTCGTTAAACGCACAACACACACAGCGCATGACACGAGACGGTGGTGACTGTACCCTTGCTGGTCTTTGCCGTGGGGAAGTTGTTTACCACGTCCATCACCTTTTTCCCTTGCGACCACACCTAAAGCCACCCAAACACCACACGTGAGACACGTTAGCAATTGCTAGCGTCACTCTCTTTCGATGCGAGCGCCAGTCTGGTGAGTAGCAGGAGTAGTAGTGGTGGTAGTACACACCTTGGGGAGGCACTCCAGGAGATCAAAGAAGTCCCGCGGCTCCGGCTTCGACGCCCAGAAGGACTTCTTGTCTAAGAGGTACGCCGAGAGAGGAATTCCAACAATATAAACAATTGATACGAAAAGCGTGTGAGTAGCGGCGCGTCAGTAAGAAAGAGACGATGAGAGGCAGAGTGCAGAGCTGGTGCAGAGCTGGTGCAGAGCTGGTGCCGACATCGACGCACCGTGCTTCATGCCGTGCCCCAGAATGTTCTCCACGACGCAGAAGAAGTGGTTGTATTGCTCCTACAGGTCCGTACGCACCACCCGCCCGGCCCGTCAGCAGAACAAAACGCGAAAGCGAAGAAGAGAGAAGAGAGAGAGAACAAAAAGAGCGAAGAACGAAAGGAGGGAAGGGAGTGAGGGCCACACCATCGAAGCGTTGATGGTCTCCGATGAGCCGGTGGTGTCGAGGATGGCATGGAGGGTGTTGAACGCGGCCTCCTGAAGGCGCTTGGCCTCCATGTGCGAGTCGTTCATGGCGAGGGCGCCTTCTCCTCACTGGTGCCAGCGAGATTAGATCGCTGCGGCTCAGATCAATTAAATAATCTTTGTAAATGGCCAATGAGAAGGTATGCTGCTGCATTACAATAAATATGCAGCAAGGTCGCATCCAACAAACAGGAAGTGGCAAAATAATAAATAAATATAAACAGTGAAACAACTACCAAATTAAATCGGTAAGGGTTGATGTACCTGAGGAACCACAATGGATGGCGCTGTGCGCTGAACCGAGATTTCGTGCACGGAAGGGAAGGCAAGGCCGCCTCCCTTTGATCACTGACGTCGAGATAAATCAATCGAATGATTGCGCTGAGGGCCACGTCAGCATATGAAAGGAAAACGTGCAGGAAACAAAATTCATCATTTTCCTCCAGCCTTTTCTTTTTCCCAAGATTTCTCCCGCGTACATTCTCGGCCTCAACCGCCCAATGCACTCGTCTCTCTTTCGTAACCACCCGGCCTTGTTTTTGTTGGCACAACGGGGAGTGTTCTGCATTGGGTAACTCACTCCGAGGGCCAAAAGATGAAAGGGGGTGATCGCGAACTCGATACAGTGGGTTGGGTGTGTGCGGCCAAAGTTAGTTACCCGAAGAGAGTTTGGCGGCGTGATGATTGTTGCGGCGACAGGTTGTTTGTGTGGTAGTTCTATTTCTATTTGAGCCTAATTTTAATTTGTAGGTCATACATGCTGTTGGTTGTCCACCTCGTCCGCCTATGCATACAAGTGTAGAGAGAAAGAGAAAGAAGAAGAAGAGAGTTCGTCGTTGAGGTCGGTCGGTGCGCGTGGGCGCTCTGCCGTCGGTGCCCGACTCGAGTAGTGTCTCAGTTGAAGATGAAAAGGGAAGAAGATGATGAAAGTCGGCGGGTCTAGTTGACGCGGGTCCGGTGGCGGTTGTTGGTGGCTAGCACGTTGGTCGCCGAGCCCGTGCGCTTCCGGCGGTCCTTGATGTGGGCCAGCGTGGGGCCGTTGCGGAACCAGCGGTGCTCGAGGAGGTCCGCCATCTTGGCGCGCTCCAGGGTGTTGGGGTTGAGGAGGCGCGAGAGGAGGTCGTAGAGGAGCGGGTCGGCCTCGCAGCTGCCGGTCAGGACAAAGTTGGAGGTCTTGATGTTCATGACCACCTGCTTGGGGCTGTCGGCGGCGAAGGGCAGGTTGCCGGTGACCATCGCGTAGAGGCAGGTGCCCAGGCTCCAGATGTCGACCTCGGGTCCGGTGTAGGGCAGGCCGCCGACGATCTCGGGCGAGCAGTAGTTGAGGCTGCCCACGCCCTCCTTGAGGTCCTTGAACGAGCACCACACGTCGGCGAAGCCCCAGTCGCCCAGCGTCGCGGTCTTCTTGTCCTCGCTCAGGAACACGTTCTCGGGCTTGATGTCGCGGTGGACGAAGCCCTGGGCGTGGGCGTGGGCCACGGCGGAGACGAGCTGGCGGAAGAGGAACCAGCTCTCGTAGAGCGACAGGCGGCCCTTCTGCTGGATGTGCTGGAACAGGTCGCCGCCGGCGCCCAGCTCGAGCACCAGGCAGATGGCCTTGTCGTTCTCCACCACGTCGAGCAGCTTGGTGATGTGGCGGTGGTCCCTCAGGTGCGACATCACCGTGTACTCCTTGCGCGTGCGCTGAATCTTCTTGGCGTAGGCCACCGACGAGTTGACGTCCTTGCCCGCGCTGCCCCGGCGGTTGGACCCCTGCGCCGCGCGCGTCTCTTCGGTGCGGCTCTTGGTCACCACCTTGATCGCCACCCGCTTGTTGGTCTTCCTGTGGCGGCCCTCGTAGACGCTGCCCCCGCCGCCACGGCCCAGCAGGCTCGACAGGTAGTAGTCGCCCACCTTGTATGAGAGCCCACCCGACGTACGGTCGATTTCTATAGTTGTGTAGTATTGGTTGTAGTGGTGGTGGTTGGTTAGTGGAGAGCTCATCATCATATATATGTCATCTCTACACGCACAGAGCACACGGCTGGGTGGATACCAAGAGAGGCAATAGAATTTAGAGGTAAATTTGTTGTGGTTGGTGAAGCGACACAACGAATAAAATAATAATGGGAAATGCGGGACCAATAGAAAAAAGGTCCGATAAATCTTTAGAGAACGCCCGGACTTTTCACAAAGCCTCGAAAAGGAGACTCCGAGGTGAAGCCGAGCGGCCATTGGCCCGTTTTATACGCGGCGGTTGACTCCGAATTGATCAAGCTGGGAGTCCCAGTGGATCCAGGCGTCGCGGGGTGGGCGTGAAGAGAAGAGTGGGGGTAGCGCAGAAAGATGAAAGGAGTGGGTACCGAAACCGGGAGCGCAGACCATCTTGTTGTAGTAGATGGAGTGGTAGTGGTCGCGGCGGTCGAGGTAGGTCATGTCGCAGGAGACAGCGCGGCGCAGGATACCGTACTTGGCCTGCTGCATCTCCTCCTTGTTCAGGTGCTTGCTCGCCGTGGTGTTGTCCCTCCTCTCGATACGATACGACATTTCTTTTTGCGAGACAAAAGAATGAAGGAGGAGAACGAACACGAAGCTGGTCGTGTGGCTTGAGTTGTTTGGGGTTCGAATGATGAAGAGAAAAGTGAGCGAAGAACGAAAGGCGGCCTTTTATACTTTTTCGTTCTCTTGGTAGTTTCTCGCCCGGTCGTTGCGGCGCTCAATGACGTCGAGCAACTACACCTCCCGGTTCACCGTAGTCATGGTCGTGGCCTCGAAGAAAGGCCGTCAAGGGTACTGTCAGCCTGACACCGAGCTCTCGCGAGCACGCGCCGATAGCACGTGCGGTGCGGATATTGCGCTACCAACCATTCGCCTGCGAACTTTCGATCTTGATTGGATCACAGTCGGATAAATCCCACCATCTAACATCCAATCCCACATAAATCCGACCACTTAGATCGAACAAATATCATCATTCCTCACATTCCATGCAAACATGAAAAAAACTCAAGAACTTCAGTTCATCATTCACACCTGGTGAACAGGTAGTCCAGGTGGCGAAGTTTCGGGTGAGCGAAACTCCTTCCGTCCTAGGTGGTCCATTTCCAAGACGACTTGCAACCATGGCGCGTGTACTTGAGACCAACTAGAACGCCCGCGGCGAGGTAGATGAGCCCCGTGCTCCCCCCCGTGCTTGCCGCGCGCAAAAAACGCACTTTACCCGGCTGGCCACGGTCAACGCTGAGAGTGGTCGTGACTTTGCTGCCAACTATCGCAAGGTGCCAAGACGTTCTTGCCAAACCGTTGCCGGCCAGCCGGGTAACTTCCAGAGCTGTCGTGGCTGTTCACCGCAAGAGTTATCTTGACCTCAGAAACATGTTGACGGCAACACATGTTGTTGGCCACACCGTGGAGGCACCGCGGCCGCAAGCTTTAGGCGAAGATCACTCAACTCACCCCGGCCCGTATGTGCCTAAATGTGCTTCTGGTTCGCCGAGGAGACGCTACGGAGTTTGTTGCTGACGTGTCCTCGCCCAATCACATTCCGTTTTGAGTAGCCGCGACAAGAACTCTTTCTGCCTGCTTTTCCACAAGCTCTGTGACGCGTTGTCGCTTCCTGGGGTGTCGCGAATGAATTGGCTCAGCTTCCCACCGCTTCGCCGGTGCTGGCACTGCCCGCCAATGGTAGGAAGAGCAACTCGCGTGAGCTCGCACCAGTCAGACAGCTCATAGAGTGGCCCCACTTCTGTGACTGTCAGCACTGACGCATTATCCTGCTACTTTGTAGGGCGTGTGGCGGTGGAGGAGGCCTACACTTTGGGGCCTGATTTGTGTTCACGATTGTTTAACAAACACATTCATTAGCGTATGCATCAAAAAAGTACAACGATGGCGTCCCGCTCTAGGTCAATCCCCCCATCAGGTGCTGTGTTCAAGGTCTCCGGTCGGGCGCCTTGGTGGCGGAAGCGTGGCATCGCCGGAGGGTCGTGGGTTTGGCGGCCCCGCTCTCCGCTGCTTCTGCAACGTGTACCACGACGGTCGCCTGCGCCAAAGAAAGAAAAAGAGAGAGGCACGTTACAATCAAACCAACGTTGTAGCGCATTCACACGCAAAGGTAGCCGCGTGAGTGAGTGGGTACCCGGCCAGGGGAGCGACAGCGGTGGCGTTGGAGGTGGAGGTGGAGGTAGGTGATGGGGGGTTGGAGTTGCTCCGGCCCTTCTCGCCTTCCTTCCTTGCCGACAGCGGCCGACGGCGAAGCACTATGCGCTCGCCGCGCTGCATGGGCCGGCCAATGTTCGAATCTGCGAGCGATCGCACCACATCTCTGTTAGCCAAGGCTACACCATCAAACTTGGCTGCTGTCGAAACGGTGCATACCATCTCCGACGATGAGCTGTCCTCTCTGGGCGGCGTCGCCTCTGTGGATGACGATGGAATGCTCCCTGATGTGGGAGCGCATGTTCTTCGTGGGGCACTGGGCAAACTGTGTGGAAGCGGGGTTAGGGTGGGTTGATGCTACGCGTGATGCTGATGTGCGTACCAGGTGCCCGAGCAATGCCGGTTTGCAGGTGTGGGGCTTGCCGCTGGGGGCTTCCGCCTTCCACATGCAACACAGGCGACATCTGTATGTAAAGACGCCCGTGAGCACTTCATGTTCTTCAAAAACAATCACGTGGTGGTGGTAGTGGTGGCGGCTGTACCGTGGCGCGGTGATGCCATCAGGCAGCACAACGCAGCCGTAGTTCTCACCCTCGGGTCCCTCCTCCACCGCGGTGTGGTTGCTGGGCTCATCTGCGCCGCCGGCGCTGGGCTTCTCTCCAGCCTCTACCGCCTGGTCCTCGTTGGACCCCGTCGCGGAGGCGCTAGGTTCGCTGTTGGCCTGGGTTGCGGCGGCAGGAGACGCCTCCGCCGAGGTGGTGGTAGCCACCATCTCTCCCTCGCCGATGACCACAGTCTCAGCCGCAGCCTCGGCAGGGTCGGCCTGCTGACCCTCGGGCTCCTGGCCACCTGTGACCAACTCGCTGCCGGTCGCTGGTGGTTCGCTGGTCCTCAGCGCCATCCGTTCCTTTAACCTGGTGACGCGAGTGGGTTAGAATGCGGTGTTGATGGGGGCAGTGGTGGGTGTGCGGCACTCACCGGTTGCGACCAAAGGAAAAGATCCTGACTGGAGGGGCGACCTCCGCCGGCTGAGCCATCACCGGCCTCTGAGGCTTGCCACGGTTCCGTCGTGCGTTCTGATGGGGTGAAAAAGAAGGTGAACGACCGTGGAGAAAAAAAAACAATCTTTGGTGGCAAGCGCACGTTTTGGTCGTCGTCATCAGAGTCGTCGGTGACCTCGTCGTCCGTGTCCTCGTTGCCGTAGTCCATCATCTTGCCACGGCCACCCGCCACGCCCTCGTCAGAATCGTCGCCATCGTCGGTCTCTTCGTCGTCATCGTCATCTTCTTCTTCAGCGTCTTCCTCCTCATCCTCATCTTCCTCATCTTCTTCCTCGTCATCACTGCCATCCTCCTCCATCTGACTCTCGTCGCTTGACGTGTTGCTGTTGTTGCCCTCTTCTGCCTCTTCTTCTTCTTCTTCTTGCATCTCCTCCTCTTCCTTCTCCTCCTCCACTACCACAGGCTGCGGCTCTATCAGGTTGCCGTCATCATCGTAATCGAGTTCTATCGGATTCCCGTGCTCATCTCTTTCGATCAAGTCGTCACTATCGTAGTAGAGATCCTCATCCTCCTCGTCGTCTTCGTCATCGTCGTCATCGTCTTCTTCCTCCTCCTCCTCTTCTTCTTCTTCTTTTTCTCCGCCTTCGCTCTTTCCCTCCTTCTCGGCTCTTCGCTTTCGCTCTTGCTCTTCTTTCTCTTTGCGCTCTCGCCGCTCCTTCTCCTTCCTCCGCTCTCGTTCTTTCTCCTTCTCTCTTTCTCTTTCTCGATCCCGGTCCCTCTCCCGATCTCTGTCGCGGTCTCGGCTGTCCCTCGGAGCTGCGAGGCCTCGTGCGCGGCTTCGTTCGTCGCGGCCGCTCGACGTCGCCACGCTCGACCCCGACGTCGATGACGTGGCGCCGCCCCTGCCAGAGACCGCCCGGTCGCCGCCGCCACCCCGCAGATCGCGCACCGCGGCCGACGGGCCGCTGCTCACCCCGCCGCTGTGCTCGCGCATCTCTTTGAGCGGCCGGTAGCGGATGGTGAGCTCCGAGTTGGACCGGCCGGTGTCCTTGAACTCGCGGCGTCGCTGCCGCACGGCCTCCTCCCGCGCGCTATCGCGTCGCACGCTGTCGTCCCGTGTCGATGTCACCTCTCGCCTCTGCGAGTCCGCTCGCTCCCTTGATGACGACGACGACGAGCCTTCCTTGCGCCGGTCATTGGACGACGATGATGACGAAGACGACGGCTTGTCACCGCGTGCGCTGTGGACTTTGCTCGTCAGCCTTTCGGTGGCCGCGCGGCGGCGAGCCTGCGGCGAAGTTTCGCCCTCCCGCTGGCCTCCACGAGCGCTGTCCTTCGACGTTCCACTACTGGCGGCGCCAATGCCTATAATGTGTGTTGTGTTTCGGCCCGATTAAGATGAATTGAGGGCAAATTCGATGAAGGCGGAGAGATTGGAGAGGGGGGGGGTTGGAGAAAGATGAAGATTGATGGCCTGGGAGGTCAAATAAAAGTTACCTCGTGAAGAGTTTTGTTTTCGGCGAGCGTCTGAGTCTGCATCGTCGGCCTCATCTTCGCTCTTGTTGTTCCGCTTGGAGCGTGGGGGGACGCCAAGATTCATTCGCCTCGCGGAGAGTTCTGTGGGGGTGCGCCGGGCCACCGCGGCCTTACGGGATGGCGCCCCCGCTATGGAAGAAGAAGAGGCGGAAGAAGAGGAAGAGGAAGAGGAAGTTGAAGGAGAAGCCTTCGCTCTGTTGTTGGAGTCATTATGGTGCCGGCTCATCGCTCATCTGTTGGGCCAGTGATGAGTGTGTAGCTCGATAAATCTCAACTATTCTTTGATAGTTGAGCCCCAGTAGCGACCTTCGGTAGAGATGGGTGAGTACCTAACTCTTGATTCAAGCTACCAGCGCCGAAAGCGACTCTGGGGTATGTCCCACAACCACAACAACCAAGGTACTAGACGAAGGTAGTTTTTGGGAGCAACGAGGAATAATAGAGCACCCCTTATTTCATTTGCCGTCGACCGACCACACCAGACCACAGCACGACCATAAGCCCCAACTCTGCGAATCGATTTCCGGTTTTTGCCCGGCTCTGTCGCATCATTTCCTTTTTTAATCACCAAAAGAAATTAAAAAAGAATTTGAAATGGCTAAAAGGGCCTACAGGTTCACGCGACCACTGGTCGTGTATCCGGCAATGGCGGCCATCACGTCCTGTTGAGAGAAGAGAGAGCAGAGGCAAGGCAGAGTAAGCGTAAGCAGTGTGTTGTGTGTTGTGTGTTGTGAGGTTTGGTGGTTGATGAGAGAAGGGTGATCCTACCTGCTCCTGTGCCTGTGGCACGCCGCTGTCCTCCGAATGGCTCGTGCCCAGCAAACCACCGCGTTCTATTCGAAGGTGTACGAGTTAGAGCAGAGAACGTGTGTGCGGGTGTGTGTGTGGTATGCGCGTGTTGTGTAGCTACACACCCGGAGACTGAAGGAAGCTAGAGGCGTCCTGGCCCTGCTCGCGCTTAATGAACTGGCGTATCGCAGCATCCTTGATCACCTTCAACTCCTCCGTCCGGTTGCGTACCACCCCCACCCACGGATGCTCCGCGTGTTCGTCGCCAGTCCTGTGTGTGGTGTGTGTGTGTGTGTGTCCGCCGAACTTGTTAAGCAGGCTCAACGAAACAGACGCTGCTTGAACTACGTACTTGGCGGCAGGGACAAGGGCGAAGATACTCCGAACTCGCTTCAAGCAACTGATAGCTAACGGATATACGGTGTGCGTGTCGTGTGTCGTGTGTGTCGTGTGTCGTGTCAATGTGCAGCGTCAAATGTTTTCGCGGTTGGTGAGTGCGTGTACCGGTGTTAAACTTGGCCATCTCCTGAGCTACTCCGCTCATCTCGTACTCCAACATGCCCACTGTGATGTGGCCGTTGCCGAGCACCTCGCGCTTGCGCTCCAGGGCTTGCGCCATGAGCCGCGCGGCGTCTTCCAAGTTCCTGGGTAGAGGTGGTGAAGCCTTCGGGTAAGTGTCCCTTCTGTTTGTGAACGGCGGGTGGTGACGGCGTGGAGGAGGTGACCCACTTTTGCCTGAGGCACAGATCGGCCAGCACGCCCCAAGCCGTGGCCGTGGGGACACTGTAGGGTCCTGCGTGCCGCGTTGCGTGAGTTTTGTGGACAGCACACGCACACGCACACGCACAGTGTATGGCGCCGTACCCCGCTCTCGCTTCTGGATCGACAGCACGCGTTTGATCATGCTCTCGGCCTCTGGATAGAGCTCATTTTCTGATGGGAGAGCGTGAGGTCATGTGAGCTCCCGCGGGCGCGCACGCGGTACCACTAAGCGTGTTGAACTAAGCGTGTTGAACGAGTCGGACACGAGGTAGGTACCCATGTAAACGTGGGCCATGTAGTAAAGATGCCGGCACAGCGCCGGATGCTCGACGCCTGGCGACCACATAACCAAAATAAGTAAAATGTAAAATGTAAAATGTAAAAGAAAATAACTAAATAAAAAGAAAATTGAAACAAATGTGTGCCAGAATGCGGTACCGAGCGTGGCTGAGAGTTTGTCGATGACTTTGCGGTAGGCGAGCTCGTTGGTGAGGTCCTGCGTCTTCTTCACGTATTCCCGGTTCAGGGCGTTCATCGCCTCCTGCACCTCCTTCTTGAGCGCCTGGACCTCGTGCTCGCCCTTGGCCCCGCTGTCCGCCGTACGCGACGGATTTACCTCGGGCGTCCACTCATCGTCCTGCGTGTGCGGTGCGTGTGTGTGCGGTGCGTGTTAAGTATATGTAGCATAAAGCGGGCGTGCGAGAGGGTACGTTGTGGACGGCGGGTGTCTGGAGGCGAATGAAGCTGCCCTCTTTTTCGCCCATGCCCTCCGTCTCCTGCCGGCGGGCCTCCTTCTCCCGGTCCTCCCGCGCCAGCCGCCGCGCCTCGACAAAGTGCTTAACGCGCCAGTGCTTGCTGGCGTGGAGGTGCGAGTGGAAGAAGGGGTGGTCCCACCGCTCCACATCCCACGCCTTCTGGAACAGCTCCTCGTGCAGCGGCATGGCCTCCACGTGCTTGCCCATGTGCTCGAGCAGCACCGCCAGATCGCACTTGACCTCCATCGTCTTGGCCTCCGTATTCTCGTTCCGTTCTCTGTCGCTCACAGCGTGAGTGTACGTTTCAACGTAGGCCGTGTGTGTGTGTGTGTGTGTGTCTGCGCGTCTGTGTATCCGTGTGTGTGTGTGTGTGTGGCTTACTTGATCTCCTTTCGCTTTTCTTCCTCCTCTGGCAGCGGAAGCACCGATCGAACTGTGAAGAGTGCGAAGGAATCGTGTCACTCGTACACTTCATGCGCGCGAGAAGAAGCAACGCAAAGTTCGGGCGTACCCATAAGCTCTATGCTCCGACGATAGAGCCGCTCGGCGTCGTCGCTCTTGCCCAAGTCTGACCTCAGCCAGGGACAACGAGTTAAGACGCGTTGCGTTGCGTTAATAAGGCGTGGGCACTGTACCTTCGGTGACGTTGCCCAGGTCGTGGAGGGCGAGGGCTGTGAGGAAGCTCTCCTCGCCGGCGTACTTCTCGCAGATGCGGACCACCCGCTCGGTGAGCGTCCGTGCGAGGGCCAGGTCGCCCCGCATCCGCTGGAGCGTGGCGTACGGCGCGAGGTGGTTGCACAGATCGGGGTGGTCGGCGCCGTAGACCCGCTCCCGCATCGTCACAGCTCGCCGCATGCTCTTCTCCGCCTTGTCCAGCTCGTACCTGCACGTGCGCACAGAGTCAGCACGACACGACACACGCAGCGCGGGTGTGCGGTGTGGTACTGAAGCCAACGCCAGGCGGCCCATCGCTCCAGCAGCCAGGCCACGGGCAGGAGAAAGGGCGAACAGGAGCCGCGACCGAGTGGGGCGTCTTGCAGGCCTTGCCGT